AGTTTTAGTGTTTGTACTCTAAACAAGATCAATACAAAGTATACTAGATTACTGATGTAATAAATATAATAATTAGAATCCTTTGTTGAAGTTCCTTCAAGATGGCCGCTGTGACGTATAGTGAAAACGAAGTATAGTCTTGCTCATCGTTTCCTCCGCCATCTTGAAAGGTAGCTGTGCCTTTGCATCGAAGGGAGACAACCGTTGAGCGTGCAGTGATAGATACCTGTGAATAATTGTCCATTTGTGCGAACAAAGGTTTCTATCATTTCACACTCAACGGTCGTCTCAATTCGATGCAAAGGCACGGCTACTTTTTAAGACGGCGCGCCGGTAACCGTGAAGGAGACTATCGCACAATGCAACAGGGTCGTCCTGCACAAATTTTTTTTGTTTGGTGTAGCGTTGCACGATGTAGACATACGAATTGCAGAAACTTGCAATACCACTGCACAGTAAATCCTCTCTTTAGCCACATTCCTCGCAATTGTTTAGGCACGTACCATCTCGACAATCCTTTACAATGTGCGTTCCCTAGCAACTCAATCGTGGTCAAACAGTGAAATATTTATTGCTGAAATAATATCATCATGACTTGTCCTGGCTTCTCTCGAACACGAATGTTGCATGACTGTCTTTTTCTCCATCATACTCTTTCAAAGGCTGTCAATAAAGAGAACAGGTTTTAGATTGCAATTTTGCTTGGAGTTAATATTGATCTCACTCAGCTGACACAAACCTGAGGCCAAAAAATGTTCAAAAGTCAAGTGGACTCGCGAGTGCAGCGACAATATAACCGTTTGTGATTATTATTTTTACCAAATTTTTAGCATTGCGGAATGTCTTTTCATGCGCTATGAAAACTCCTTGTTATTGGCATTTTATTGTGGCCCATACAAATTAAATTTCTTTTAACAGGACATGGTCCACGGCATCCCCTTCGAGCTCCTGTTTATGCTTGAAATTAAAAATACATCGCAATATATAAGATAAAACCTTTTTACTCTTTATGATCCCTTTATGGTCTATGAATTGAGATATCGTAAGACTTGACCTTAAAACCGACGGATGGAAACGGATTGCGAATGGATATTCGAAGTCACTTCATTTGCCATATATGAAAAATTTAAAACACGACCGCATTGAATGCTGGTGTACCATGGTCCTTTAATGCAAATCTCATTTCTTCCCCAAAAAATATTAGAAATGTTTTGCCATTAAAAGTTTTTTTTCTTGGAAAGGTTCTCAGTACCTTGCATCCAGCAGCAAGTGCCATCCCAGTAACTCTCTTCAGGTATTCCACCTTCTGCTCAACTTTTAAATCCAACATGAACCTGAAAGAATAAACAAAGTATATACCTATTAAAAACGTTGTAGGGGAGAATAGCGAACAGCGATTGTAAAGGGGAGATTGAAAGGGCTACTTGGACGAAAATTGCGAAACATTAGAAATGACTTGGAAATCAAATAGACCTATCCATATGGATCTAATAATCATGAAGCAACAGGTTTCAAGAAGATATTGATACAAATCCTTAATAATTTGGGCAAAAAATGTTGGAGTAGATGACGTCA